AGGAGATTGTGATTTGGCGCTTCTCCATTTCCGTGCTGTGATTGGCTGTTTCCATCTAAATGTGGGGGAACATGGTGTGGCCCACTCTTCTTTCCTCCTGTGGAACTTATTTGCATCATTCAAACACAAAGTTAGAAAAGTGTCACTAAACTACCAAACCACAACCACAATACCTTTGGCAATATTACGAACGCATCAAGTCCAAACATGATGAAAAAAGATCATCAAAAGAATCAGTCTCCAGGTGGGTGAAGGGCAGAAACTGCATTTTGACCAATGAGAAGTCCTGTCCTTCCCGGGCTTGGTACCAGAGGTCCAGATCTAATACAATGTACCAAACCTTTGTCCACTGTTGTGGTCAGAGAGGGGCCCCGCCATAAACTGGGCCCTGGAATGTACTGTGTTTACTATAAATTATGTAATTAGCATTCAGTTTGAGTGAAACGTTCAACTGAAAACTGAACATGATTGTCAGAATGTTCCAGTATTTGATTTGTGCCCCTTTAGCAGTCGAGCTGCGTCTAACTGAACATGCTGCACAAAAGAGTTCACATGGTCAAGGTTGCAAATTTACGGTAATACTTTACAGTAAGGTCTCATTTGTTAACTAACATGAACTAGCAATGAGCAATACATTTGCGTAGCATTTATTAACCTTTGTTAATGTTAAAAATGCATTTGTTCAGTTTGTGCATGTTAGTTCAACCTTTGTCCACTGTTGTGGTCAGAGAGGGGCCCCGCCATAAACTGGGCCCTGGAATGTGCTGTGTTTACTATAAATTATGTAATTAGCATTCAGTTTGAGTGAAACGTTCAACTGAAAACTGAACATGATTGTCAGAATGTTCCAGTATTTGATTTGTGCCCCTTTAGCAGTCGAGCTGCGTCTAACTGAACATGCTGCACAAAAGAGTTCACATGGTCAAGGTTGCAAATTTACGGTAATACTTTACAATAAGGTCTCATTTGTTAACTAACATGAACTAGCAATGAGCAATACATTTGCGTAGCATTTATTAACCTTTGTTAATGTTAAAAATGCATTTGTTCAGTTTGTGCATGTTAGTTCAGAGTGTATTAACTAATATTAAGAGCTACAACTTTTGATTTAAAAAATGTATTAGTAAATGTTGAAATTAATATGAACTGAAACTAATAAATACTGTAGAAGTATTGGTCATTGTTAGTTCTTGTTAGCTAATGTGGGTTAATAATGTTAACAAATGAAACCTTATTGTAGAATTTACTTCTTTGATTAATGACCTAGAAATCTAAGTGCAGAATCTGAAACATTTCTTAAACTTTTACATTATTTATGTTGCTCTGTTCTGAATAGGCTACCTTAAAATTTAAAGGATTTGCTGCAACGCAATTTTGTCTGAGGCCTATGTGAATTATTTATTAGCCTATTTTTTTAATCCATGCAGCAAATGCTTTAAAACAGCTTTTAAAATTACTTTATTGCACTGAAAACTGAACATGATTGTCAGAATGTTCCAGTATTTGATTTGTGCCCCTTTAGCAGTCGAGCTGCGTCTAACTGAACATGCTGCACAAAAGAGTTCACATGGTCAAGGTTGCAAATTTACGGTAATACTTTACAATAAGGTCTCATTTGTTAACTAACATGAACTAGCAATGAGCAATACATTTGCGTAGCATTTATTAACCTATGTTAATGTTAAAAATGCATTTGTTCAGTTTGTGCATGTTAGTTCAGAGTGTATTAACTAATATTAAGAGCTACAACTTTTGATTTAAAAAATGTATTAGTAAATGTTGAAATTAATATGAACTGAAACTAATAAATACTGTAGAAGTATTGGTCATTGTTAGTTCTTGTTAGCTAATGTGGGTTAATAATGTTAACAAATGAAACCTTATTGTAGAATTTACTTCTTTGATTAATGACCTAGAAATCTAAGTGCAGAATCTGAAACATTTCTTAAACTTTTACATTATGTTTCTTTGTTTTATTTTTTTTTTTCAGAATCCTATTGTTTAATAGAATTAGATTCAGTTACATTTTGAATTCTGTACATGGTTATATTTTCGTACTATACTTTAATTAAATGACAGCGAAATGAATTGAAAAATGCAATGCTTTGTCTCTGTTTTCACAAATTAGCAAGTGCAGAATCTGAAACATTTCTTAAACTTTTACATTGTTTCGTTTTATTTTTTTTTTTCAGAATCCTATTGTTTAATAGAATTAGATTCAGTTACATTTTGAATTCTGTACATGGTTATATTTTCGTACTATACTTTAATTAAATGACAGCGAAATGAATTGAAAAATGCAATGCTTTGTCTCTGTTTTCACAAATTAGCTTTTCATTTGGTTTATAAATACAGGGCTCCAGACGGCAAATACAATTTACACAAATACAACAAAAAATACATTTGCAGCAATCATTTAAAATAATGTAGTTGCCACTGGCAACAGTTAGAAAAACTTTGTGTTTGTGTCAGTTAATTCTTAGAACTGTTACTGAGTTAAAAACAACTGACTTTACGAGGCATTTTTGGTTATGTTTAATGTAAGTTAACCTGTAACTGTCTAGGCTTACATTAGTCTGTTTACTGATTTGTTCATATGACAGTGTATAATTAAAGATACATATTCATAACATAGTGGCAATATATATAGAACAAAGACATTCAAATTTTGACTAAAAGTATTACAGGTCCAGTTGAAACAACTACAAGGAAAATTTGTTTTGGAAATAAAAATATTATTTATTAAAAAAACAAAACAAAAATGTTCTTACAGATGATACTCATAATGACATTTAAATGGCAAAAATACAATCAAGATCACTAGAGTGACAGCATCAAATGGAAAAAAAGAATGCAG